GGCCCGTGGGGGCGTTGACCCCCAGAACCTCTCCGGTAAACTCCGGTAATACGTAAAACAGGGTACTCCTATGACGAATATACGACCGCAACGTAAAAGGGGTTTAAAAAACCTAGTCAGCTTTTAATAGTGTGTCAGCATTAGGATGTCTGCTTGAAATGCTCAGTGTGCTGGCGGCTTTCTTTTGTGCTTAAAAATATTTTATTATGTGTAAACTACATTTTTTAAACTGCAGAAATAAAAAAAGTTTGTTGTGTCTGTTTTACATTCATTTATGTATTATTTTTTCATATTTTTAGATAATAATAACAAGTTAGAAATTGGCCTGTAATTACTGACTTAAGATGGGTAGGATACCAGCTCTTTGCCTATAAAAATTACCTGTCCAATTAAAACAATCAACACTGAAAAAGTTTTCCCTTATTACAGGAAGATTAAAAAATAACATATTACTGTACATTTAAAATCAAGAAAATAAGAAAATAAGGAGTTACCTGGGGGCAGATGTAGAACATAATGTACATAGAGGGAGGTAGCCTGAGAGAAGTGGAGAGCACGCATGATCTCTCCGACGATCAGTAGTCGCAGCTCTCCTCCTTCAACCTGCTGTGTATCCCACTCCATCCCGACCATCTGATCAATTTCTTCCAACCGCTGTTCATTAATCTAAAAAAAAAAAAATAGTGTCATAATGCACAGATCCTTCATACTGCTAGTGCTTTCACTCACACCCATACTATTAGTGCTTTCATTCACACTCATACTGGTAGTGCTTTCATTCACACTCACACTGCTAGTGCTTTACTCACACCAATACTGCTAGTGCTTCACTCACACCCATACTGCTAGTGCTTCATTCACACCCATTATTACAAAAACACCAATTGGTTTTACATTTGTGTTAGTAATATAAAAGTTTGGGATACATATATACACATTAAAATAAATTAATCTTTAATATTATATAAAAAACAATCTTTGGTCTAGAGGTATTTAAAATATACAAACATGTTACAATAATAAATTATAATTAGCATTTTACTAAAATAATAAATAATTCCTGACCCTACACAGGGTACAACTCTCTTGACACTACTGTGTCACTATATATATACAGTGGACCCCCGGTTAACGATATTTTTTCACTCCAGAAGTATGTTCAGGTGCCAGTACTGACCGAATTTGTTCCTATAAGGAATATTGTGAAGTAGATTAGTCCATTTCAGACCCCCAAACATACATGTACAAACGCACTTACATAAATACACTTACATAATTGGTCGCATTCGGAGGTAATCGTTATGCGGGGTCCACTGTATATATATATAATATCTATGCTAAAATAATAAATTATAAATAACATTTGTACAATAATGAATTACAATCAACTCCTTATGACGCTCCATGTCCCTCACGACACTTATCCGTGGTGTGTTGTGAAGCTCTCTCTCAACTGTGTCACTTGACACTTATGTGTGTAATGATGCTCCATCTCTACCGTGTCCCTTGACACTCTTTTCTCTGTGCCACACGACACTCCAGCTCTCCGTGTCACACGACACCCTTTTCTCTGCGTAATGACGCTCCTACTCTCCGTGTCCCTTTACACCTTTTCTGCGTAATGACGCTCCTACTCTCCGTGTCACATGACACCCTTTTCTCTGCGTCATACACTTTCTCAACGGTGTCACTCTTGACACCCTGCGACACACTCACAGCGTCTGTCTTGAGGCCAGTCATGACACTATTCAATGTACACTACGACCATACCTTCTTTAGTGTCACACGACACCCTTTTCTTCTCAGTGTTCCACTACGGTCCTGTAGCATATCTCAGTGTTCCACTCCATCATACTTCCCTAAGTGTCACACTACGGTCCTAGCCCAGTTCAGTGTAACACTCCAACCTTTCTTCGTGTAATGTCCCACTAAAACAGCATCAGGATGACTCTGGCCCACAGTTGACCAGCGTAGGTGGTGAGTCCGCAGACATCACCGGTAGTCCTGTAAATACTCTCCAAGGCCGGTAGAAGTACACCTTAAGATGGTCTGGTGAGTACTATCTACCACCTTCAAGACCAACTGACACACCGCAAGGTGGTCTGATGAATTACTAGCAGAACACCATGCTGCAAGCTCACTGAGTGCGGCCGTCAAGTAACTGAGGCCATCAGACTCAGTGAGCTGCGGTAAGCGGCTCTTCTAAAATCAGTAGAAGCCAGTAGAATACTCTCTACTGCCAGTAGATGTGTACCATTAGGTGTTCTGGTAACTACTGCTTAGATGCGTACCGTGAGGTGTTCAGGTACTTACTGCTCTAAGGCCGGTAGATGTATACCGTGAGGTGTTCAGGTACCTACTGCTTCTAAAGCCAGTAGATGTGTACCGTGAGGTGTTCAGGTACTTACTGCTCTAAGGCCAGCTCAGCAGTCCCCACAATGGGTTTGATGACGTACCCAGTGGTACTGCCGGCCGGCAGGTTAACCATTTAAACCGCTAGTTTGGTAGGGGGCCGCAACACCCATACTGCTAGTGCTTCACTCACACCCATACTGCTAGTGCTATACTCACACCCATACTGCTAGTGCTTTACTCACAAACCCCTACTGCTAGTGCTTTCACTCACACCCATACTGCTAGTGCTTCACTCGCACCCATACTGCTAGTGTTTTACTCACACCCATACTGCTAGTGGTTTCACTCACACCGACACCTGGAGAGGGTTTCAGGGGTCAACACCCCCACAACCCAGTCTATGAACAGGCCTCATGGTGGATCAGGGCCTGATCAACCAGGCTGTTACTGTTGGCCACATGCAACCTGACGTATGAACCACAGCCCGGCTGGTCAGGTACTGACTTTAGGTGCCTGTCCAGTGCCTTCTTGAAGACAGCCAGGGGTCTACTGGTAATCCCCCTTATGTATGCTGGAAGGCAGTTGAACAGTCTTGGGCCCCTGACACTTATTGCTAGTGGCATCCCTGCTTTCCATTAGGGGAATGTTGCATCATCTGCCGAGTCTTTCGCTTTCATAGGGAGTGACTTTTATGTGTAAGTTTGGTACTAATCCCTCTAGGATTTTCCAAGTGTATATAATCATGTATGTCTCTTGCCTGCATTCTAGGGAGTACAGGCTGAGGAACTTCAAGCATTCCCAGTAACTGAGGTGTTTTATCACAGTTATGTGCAGGTTCTCTGTACACTTTCCAGGTTAGTAATTTCACCTGCCATGAAAGGTGCTGTTAGTGTGCAGCAATATTCCAGCCTAGATAGAACAAGTGACCTGAAGAGTGTCATCATGGGTTTGGCATCCTTAGTTTTGAAGGTTCTAATTATCCATCCTGTCATTTTTCTAGCAGATTCAACTGAAACAATGTTATAATCTTTGAAGGTGAGATCCTCTGACATGATCACTCCCAGGTCTTTTACATTAGTTTCTCGCTCTATTGTGTGGTTGGAATTTGTTTTATACCCTGTATATTTTTTTTTTTCCAAATTTTTTTCCAAACGTTTTCCATATTGTGTAGTTAAAATTTTTCTCATCATTGAACTTCATATTTTTTCCTAGTTTATATATTCAAAATTGTTAAAAAAAAAGGGTGAAATTCTCAGGTGCTAAAGAAAAAAGTTCACAATTTTCCATTAAATTCCAAAGCTCATTTTTTTGATTACCACTTTATGTTCACCACAACTTATTTTAGTCCCTTTTAATTTTAAATTTTTTTATAGTAAAATTTCTAACTTTTAAAGAATTACCTTTATAGTACTACCTTCATTTAGCTCTTTATTTTACTTTTGTTAAAAAATTCAGGTGCTTTTTTTAGCTTAAGACTATTTACTTTTTTTTTATACTTTTTTCTAACTAAATTCACTACAAATCTTATGATTAAAAGCATTGATCCGATCCCAAACCTCTTATTTAAGACTTAAATGAATAAACAGTTACTGAAATTTTACTACACTGCAAAACAATAAAAGGGCACTTCTCAGTGCCAACAAAAACATAACTATCTTTAACTCAATATCAGATCTTTAAAAAGCATTACGATGACCTCATAGCATTACAAAATTTCCCCTTACATGCCAATATTCCATCATTACACTAACTAAAACCCCCAAAAAGCCTATAGTACAGATTCTATCCCATTCCTGGTTACACACATACACAACTGTAGCCAGACCAAAAAGGGGGGGGCACAGCCTATACTACCAGAAACCCAAATAGAATGTATCACTAAAACTTCAAAGGGGGAAAAAGGGGGAATATATAATGCCAAATTTAAATCCAAAAACCCACAAAACCCTCACTTTATAAAAATCTACAGAGTTCCACAGTCAACATTAGCCAATTTAGTCAAAACCCAGGAAGTATAAACTGATCACCAAAAACAAAGATCATTACTATCTCGGGATTCAATATAAATCTCCCAAAACCAGACCCCACGTTACCCGAATTCACAAACACAATGAGTAACTGTATGTTTCTACCAACATAACAAAACCTACAAATTTTTCAGAGACATGTTTCCCTACTTGACCACATCTGGCCAACACCATATCCCCCTTTAAAATCAGGGGGATAATTTCGATAAAAACCACAGACCATACCCTAAATTTTCTCATAACAACCTTGGGAAATTACCCGAAGACACTAAATAAAGTCACCTTCAGACTTCACAATGAGGCAGCCATTAAAAACTTTACAAAAGCAGTAGCAAACATTGACTGGCACACTGAGCTAGAAATCTATACAGATATTGACGAATGTATTAATAAATTTTCTAAAAAGACCCAATACCTCTAAACAAGCACTGCCCTACAAAAAACTAACAGATGACAGCTAAGAGACTGAACAGTCCCTGGCAAACACCCAGCATTCTCAAATCCATAAATACAAACCCAAATGAAAAACAGTACAGAAAAGGGGCACATAACCAGAGACCAAACAAAACGTTACCGTCAATCCAACCACCTGATAAGAAGGGCAAAAAAATTGTATTTTGAGAACAGATTATCCAACTTACGAGTGATATAAAAAAGACCTGGAAAACCCTATCAGAAATTCTAGGGCAAAAATGATATCACGAAATAGCGAAATAAAAAAAGCAAAATCAGATGAACCCCAACTCCCACCAACAGAAACAGCAAACAGACTCAATGACTTCTTCTCCACTATAGGACAAAACCTTGCCAATAAAATCCCAAGCTCAATACCCCACCAAATGACTACCTCACCGGGAACTACCCGAACACACTGTTCCTAGCTCCGACTAACCCTACGAAGTCTCCCTTATTATCAACACACTAAAAAACAAGGCAGGGATTTAAATACCTTACCACCCTTTATATACAAAAAAGTGTCACAATGCTATCACCAATCATGCAACACTCTTTAACAAATCCATTGAATCCTCCACCTTCCCTACAGTACTCAAAATAGCAAGGGGCACCCTGATCCACAAAGGAGGAGACCAAACAGAGTTGAATAACTATAGGCCAATATCCAACTTACACCCTCTCTCAAAAAACTTCGAAAAATTAATTCATAAACGAATCTACTCCTACCTTTTCTCCCAAAACTACTCAACCCCTGCCAATTTTGGGTTCAGGCCTAATAAAAATACTAATGATGCTATTTTACACATCTAGAACATATAACACTGCAATAGAGAAAAAAGAAGTCCCACTGGGGACTTTATTTACTTACGTAAAGCTTTTGATACAGTTAACCATGACTTGCCCCACGTAAAATTGTCACACAAAGGGATAAGAGGGGACTCCCTCAACTACCTCAATCATTACCTCACAACAGAAGCCAATATGTGTATGCAAATGGGGCAAAAATCTTCTGCACAACCAATTACAGTTGGTGTCCACAGGAAGTGCCTTGGCCCTCTTTTTTTCTCCTATACATAAAGACCTACCCAAAAGTTTTCGAAATTTACTCAAACCCACACTATTTGAAATGCACACATACTCTTCCCCACCCGAGCCCATCACGCTACCAATACGTAAATACCGAATTACAAAAAAATTCTACCTGATAAAGGACTAACAAATTTACACTAAACATTGCAAAACCTACTTCATTCATTTTGGTAACAGAGCTACAGATTCCCTCTTAACAAAATGAAACGGATCCCTACACAAAGCAACAGAGGGAAAATTTTTAGGAATCCCCCTTTGATAATAGACTCAAATTTCAACACATATCAACAAATTTCAAGAAAATTTTCCAAAAATGTAGGCATACTATCGAAGATACGACTATGCTCCACAGTCACCCTCCTGGGCCCCAACACTCTCTTATTTTTCCCCCATCTCACCTTGGAATTGTGCATGGGCCAACAAAAAAAACCATTCAAACCACTAAATTTTCCCAACAAAAAGGTCAGTTAGAATGATAAAAAATTCTCACTAAGGCCACACTCCCCCAATATTCAATCACTAAAACCCACTCACCATACAAAAAACCAACTTATTACGCACCTATACAACATAGAACCTTTTAACTCTGAATTAACCCTCCCCCCCAAACACCCTTGCCAACCTCAAAAGAACACATGACCATAACAAAGGCACAGATCACTCTTTGATGTTCCCGTGTCCATCTCCCAAAATCAAAACCCCAAGCACAAAAAGGGCCCCAAAACTGGAATTTATTACCTGTAAATAAAAAGAAACACACCTGTTTATAAACAAGTCTCTCTCAAGATCACTTACTTTCCCCCAAAAACCCCAAAAAAAAAACTGAATAACTGAACTTATAAAATTTTATATCTTAAATGTTTCTCACAAAATTTTAAACAAAAAAATGTTAAAAAAATAAAACCCAATCAAATTTAAATTTTTTTTTAATACACACCTAACAGAATACTCCATTCTACTGAATGTACAACAAGGCATACAACCATATGACCTGTCTTTGTAATACTCACTTGTGCTTTATAGTAATCTGTTTACATTAATGTTTTATCACTGATTTCATCATTGCTTAGTTAATCTTAAGTTAATTTTAAGCCAGCCTGTAATGCTATGCATAGTATAAGTGGCTTTGGCATGCTGCTCTTATCTGTATTTTTTGTACCTCTGTATGTGTGCTCAAATTTTTAAATAAATAAATAAATAAATAAATTTGGTTGATGTCCGCCTGGAGTCTTGCGGTGTCTTCAGTGGAGGACACTGTCATGTAAATTCGGGTGCCATCTGCAAAGGAAGACACAGTGCTGTGGTGTACATTCCTGTCTATGTCAGATATGAGGATGATAAACAGGATGGGAGTGAGTACTGTGCCTTGTGGAACAGAGCTTTTCACTAAAGCTGCCTCGGACTTGACTCTGTTTACTACTAGTCTTTGTGTTCTATTTGTTAGGAAATTATAGATCCATCTACCAACTTTTCCTGTTACTCCTTTATCACACATTTTGTGCACTATTACACCACGGTCACACTTGTTGCGAGCAAGGTCATGGAACGGATTAGAACATAAGAAAGAAGGAACACTGCAACAGGCCTACTGGGCCTACTTGCCCAATGCGCATGCAACCAATCAATCTAATATGTAGACAAACCATGGTATGGGTGGGGACTTAACTCACGGCAAGTGAGTTGTAAAACTTCAGGCCAGCGTGTAAGCTACTGGGCCAGCTGGCCCAGCGACTGCGCTCAATGGCCCTGGAGTTTACAACTCACTTTGCCGTAGCTGCAATCCCCCCTATACCAGGTTCTGTCCGGGAGACTTATCTACTGGGTTGTTTCCCTTATGGTTATGATCTTTTAAATGTACCATTTTAAACATCTTGAATTTCTATATCATTATGGAAACTATTGACTCTCAACATCCAGGCCTATGATGAGTACAAGTTGGCTGTTGATATAACACTGATGAGTACATGTGCTGTTGGAATAACAATTGAAGAGTACATGTAAGCTGTTAGATATTAGCCACTTGATGAGTACATGTTGCTGATGGAAACACTTGATGATATGTATGTTGGTACTGATACAGTGGACCTTTCAGTTCCACCGAACCGCTTAGCAGCCCAACTCTGTATCGGGCCCCATTTTCGCTTCTGTGTTATCCGGCCCGTATTTTGCTTATTGGCTGTATCCCAACCCATTGCCACTCATGGCGTCATCGGGCTGTGTCTCTGGGCGAGTGAGGAAACTTAGCTGCTCATTCAACCAAACATTTGCTATAATCCTTGTTTTTGGTGGATATTTATTAAGTGCAACTACAAAATAAATAACCATGGCCCAAGAGAAAGTTACTAGTAGAGTTCCTTTGGTAAAGAAAGTAAGAAATGCCATGGAATTTAACCCTTTCAGGGTCCAAGGCCAAAATCTGAAGTCACGCACCAGTGTCCAAGAAATTTTGAAAAAAAAAATAAAAATTTTTTTCTTACAGAATTAAAGAGCATATTTTTGTGAAGGTAATAAAACAAAAAAAAATTAGAATCTGATCAGTACTTACCGAGATACAGTGCCAAGAAGGTTGTAGAAAATGATGTGGTGGCGGCAACATCGACGAATTCCACATACGCGTATTATATTATTTTGTTGTTTTAGGTTGTTTTTGTTCTTATCTTTATCCAGATTTTTTTCTATTGCCTAATAACATTTGGGCCTGAGAGAGACCATACTGTATACAATTTATATATATACAGTTGTTGTAGTTGTTTGTTGTTTCACACTGTATTGAACACAATAACCGCACTCAATGTCTATTATCATTATTATGTTTACACACTTGTGTTTTATTACAATAAACATGCACAAAAATTGGTATAATACTAATTGTTTCTATCATATATTTACATATTTACATCACTGGACAATGGTCTGAGACTGGCTGGAGCTTTGTGGAACTCCCTTGAAAACAAGGCACCATGCACAGAGGCACCTTACATTCCTCACACCATAAAACCGAGTGGTCTTTGCGTCTTTTGTTGCCGGTCGTTTTGGGTGGGGGGGGGCTCAGACAATGCCTCTCTTCTGAGACAAATTTCTTTGATTGAAGGAACTGTATTTGGAAATGATCACCTTCTCTCCTCAAACGCTGGTATATCGGATGGAATTCGAGGACCATGTTGTATTGCAGTGTTTGTTACCTGGTACTTGTCATTATGAGTTGTCCTGACAACAACAAATCAAAATTTACCATACGGTGGTCCTGTTACCATCTTGATTTGGTATCATATTATATGCATTCAGCATTGAATCACAAGAGATGGAAGAAAAGTTTCATGTACCACTTGTACACTTACGACTACAGTCAACAAAACCAATCTGCATGTCACACTTGTCAACCAAGCGCATGTTTTGTGTATAATCACTCACTGTCACTGTTTTCGCATACGTATATTCATTTAGTCACTCGATCAACTAATGCCAACTGTCTTGCATTTCATTACGGTGAATGGTTGTCAACAATGTGACATCCGTTTGTCAAGATGCCACCTAGTAATGCCATGAGTCCATTGGCTATAAACACCTGCACGTCCATCACCACGAACACCTGCTTGAGACCTGGGCATATGTTTACGAATAGAACGCACTGTGCCACACACATCTGTCTTGTTCACTAACTCGCGATTGAAAACCACTGAGTAATGTGGCTTGTGTAACAGTTATCGTTATAAAATGTAGGCCCTTACAAGATATATCGTGCCATCATGTTTCTCACTACGTTCACCTGATATACCCAACTAAACATCATCTGTATCTTCAATGTTTTACTACCACCCGTGTAGATACAACAAAAACCAACACACAGGCCACTTGTCACAATCACTAGAGTACAAACAATTTTATACAAAGCGTTTCCTCTTGCTCGGTAATTATACTGCTTGAATGACAGTCTATCACGCCTTGAACAAAATACAAAACTCGTCAATTACAAGATTCCTGAATGGAGATAAAGTATATCCTGAACTTTTGTTTGAGACATACATGAAAACATTTCTAATCTTGTATAACCTGTCCATCTTCTGTCAGCCTGGTTTTGTCTCAGAGAAGTCTGCAACATAGCTAAACAGAAAGATAAACCTGTCACTGTAATTATTTTCACTGAAGGATGGGGTACAATTACCGTGACCTTGTGAACATATGCTTTTATATTATGCTAATAGACGTGAGGCAAAGCATTATTTGTTGCAAAAAGCAATACATTTTCTGCAACAGTCCGACTCTTTCCACCTGTGTAGTCTGACTGTGGTGATAAGATCGTAATTTGAGCCATGGTGTACTGTTGAAAAATACTTTAATTACTTCGCCTGACAATAGTTTCCACTCTAATGCTGTCAAAGAATAATTCAAGAATTCCAGTTCATTGGCCTGGTCCAAGGGGACAGGTAGGTAGAATTCACATTTTGCGAGTCTCATCAAAGTGGTGAAGGCTGGGAACAAAATTGGGACTTTATGCTGAGTCCACTTCCCATGATAACGAGTTTGCTGGTGGATTACTGTAGCATCATAGGTCTGGTTGTACGGGTGTTGTGGCGGGCTGGTGGGTGACGCTCCGCCTTTGTTCCTTGAACTGACGAGTCAGCCGCATGGGTTCCCGCGTGGACAGCGAGGTCACGCGAGGCGGTGCCACACCACCACCAGCGCCCACTAACAACCATCCACTGATGTCTGTGGCCCATCCATGCCAATTGTAGCCACAGTCATCCTCACTATCACTACCAAAACGGTGTAGCCACGGTGATGTACTTCCGAAGTAGCAACGGGATGTACTCCGTCCACTGGGCACAGCATAGGTCGGTCTCCACTATACTCCGAGAGCAAGCTTCGGCGAACATCCGACGCTTCACTGGTGAATAATGATTTCCTCACATATCACTACTGCGAAGATCAGTCGAGCGCCAATATACATCACATCCACAGGCAATTTCAACGACATTACTGAAGATCAGAGCCATTCCACGGGAAAATATTAGTTTTCTCTTCACGTTTAGGAAAACCCTATCATGAGTCGCACTAGTTAGCCCACGACCAGAGGTAGAAGGTCGAGATCGTCGGTTTTTCCTGCAGCTATTACGATATGCCCTTTCATTATTTTTCGGGGGGGGATCGAACTTATCAAGCCGTAGAATACGTCTTCATTTCCACTTCATCAGTGTCAGACTATCAGACAGGAGAGAAGTCCCATTTTTCCGGGGAGTGAGAGCTGACTTGCGACGAGACATGGTGAACAAGGGTGACTGAGCCGGCGTTCCCACAATGCTATGCGGGCGCCTAGATTTTTTGTTTACGGCGCACACCCACGGCGCAGACCCATTCTCTCATATGTAGGCCTATGAGCGCTTTCGCGCTAAATTTGACGGCGCTAGAATTTTGGCGTAGATCTACGGTTTGGACACTCACCGACCAGCCGTAGATCTACGGGACGGACCCTGAAAGGGTTAAGAAAGAAATTGTAGCTAAGTACAAGAGTGGTGGTGGTAGAGGGTGGTAGTGATAGTGGTAGAGGGTGGTAGTGGTTGTGATGGTGGCAAAGGGTGGTTGTGATGGTGGTAGAAGGTGGTAGTGATGGTGGTAGAGGGTGGTAGTGATGGTGGTAGAGAGTGGTAGTGATGGTGGTAGAGGGTGATAGTGGTTGTGATGGTGGTTGTGATGGGGGTAGTGATGGTGGTAGAGGGTGGTAGTGGTTGTGATGGTGGTAGAGAGTAGTAGTGATGGTGGTAGAGGGTGTAGTGGTTGTGATGGTGGTAGAGGGTGGTAGTGATGGTGGTATTGAGTGGTAAGTAAGTAAGTAAGTAAGTAAGTAAGTTTATTCAGGTATACACAAATACAGTTACATAGAATTATCATATATAGCAGCATATGGGTAGAGAACCTAGGATAACCCAAAAAAGTCAGACAGAGTGACTTATTTCCATTGGGGTAGTGATGGTGGTAGAGGGTGGTTGTGGTTGTGATGGTGGTAGAGGGTGGTAGTGATGGTGGTAGAGGGTAAAGCCGCAAGACCTTCGTCTGGAACAGCAACAGACCACAGCTGAGGAAAGTGCTTCAGAGGAGGAAGAAGAGAAAGGGGAGAATGTGCCTTCTTCAGTGATTAAGGATATGCGTGCAAAGTGGAGTGAGTTGCAGTGGTACAGTGACTCTCAAGCCTCTCTCCTCCTCCCTATCTTCCATAAGCCAAGAAGAATCTTCAATAAAGATATGTAATACTGATGTCAGATCACTCACTTTCCTCCTACAGCTCTTGAATAACATTTATTCTGAGGATTTTACTCCCTCACTGAAAAATTGCAGTTATCCTCCCTTAACTGATGGGAACATAGGGGCATGACTTATCCCATTATGAATTCATTTTTTTTCTGCTCTTTTTTCAAATTGCTGCAACATTTAGTATCATTATTTTTAGCTTGTCTTTGTGCATATTATTCTCTCATCTTGTTTCTCTGAGAGTACCACCTGTAATATCCATCCTGTTTGTTACTTTATCTTAAATTTCTAAATTCTAGTCCTACCCTGTCCTGTCTGTAACTGCCTTTTTAAATTACTGTACAGTGGACCCCCACATAACGATATTAATCCATTCATGAGAGTTCATTGTTATGCGAAATTATCATTATGCGAATGAATTTTCCCCATAAGAAATAATGGAAATCAAATTAATCTGTGCAAGACACCCAAAAGTATGAAAAAAAAAAATTTTACCACATGAAATATCATGAAATATACATTTTCCTACACACAAAGAGAAGGATACATGCACAATAGTAGAGTAGTACATGCACAATATATATTGTGCATGTACTACTCTACTAAATGAAGAATAAATGACACTTACCTTTATTGAAGATGCAGCAATGACTGATGAGACACTGTGTCCTGGGAGTGCCTTTTCCTCCTGAGTACTGTAGGTCCTGTTTGGCATTTTCTTCCAGAACAGGCCTTATCACACTGTGTATGCCACTACGATTCTTAAATCTCTCAAACCAACCTTTGCTGGCTTTAAATTCACCAATATGAGCACTAGTTTCCAGGCATTTTTTCCCTGTTCATCTGGGTGTTAGTCAACTGGTGTGGGTTGCATCCTGGGAGACAAGATTAAGGACCCCAATGGAAATAAGTTAGAGTCATCGATGATGCACTGACTTTCTTGGGTTATCCTGGGTGGCTAACCCTCCAGGGTTAATTGTTTCTTGGTAACTGTTTCACGTTAAGCTACACCAACAACACTCTCTCCACATCTTCGAGTAATACAGCTGATGGTGGTGCAGCAACAACAACAGCTGTGGTGCAGCTGACCATGGTGCAGCTGCAGCTGTGGTGCAGCAGCAGCTGTGGTGCAGCAGCAGCTGACTGTGGTACGATAGTATTTATCACCCTTTTTACCACAGGGTTGGCACTAGAAGCTTTCTTTGGGCCCATGGTGGCTTATTTAGCAGTTACAGGCACTATAAATAATGGAATAATACAAAATGTATCGAATGTATGCATGCAACCGGCCACCCTGGCTTGTAAACAATGACGGCAAGGCAGGCGCTCAGGCTGGACGGACAGGTTCAGGACAGGTTCGGGACGAGTCATGTTCAGAGACAGCTGATGGTGCAACAGCAGCTGACCGT